AAGAATAATAAATTAATTCAGTTGGTTTAAACACCTAGTAAACTTGGTTAACTCTCTCAGAGTTATAGTAACTTTTTAACATAACTTTTATAATTGACTGTAAAACCAGAGACGAAAGTAATTTCAGAGGATTAACTTGTGATTTACTGACTTAATGCTGTCACATGTACCTGTTTCTTATAGGTAATCTAGAGGCCTATGTTGACTTTCATATCTGAGAAGTAGTAAGCTCCTATAGCTTGGGTAGTGGGATTGGTAAGCGTTTTGATTTGAGGTTACTCAGGTTTAGGTAGTAGTATGCTGTGGTTGAGATTACAGGAGTTTTAAATTGGTAGTTGGATTCAAAATCAATTTTCAGATCTTCCTTGACTTATGATGGGGTTACATCCTAATAAACCCATCGTAAATTGAAAATATACTAAGTCAAAAATGCACTTAATACGCCTAACCTACCAAACATCATAGCTTAGCTAAGCCTACCTTCAACATGTTCAGAACACCTACATTAGCGTACAGTTGGACAAAATCATTTAACACAAAGCCTATTTTATAATATAGTGTTGAATATCTCATGTAATTTATTGAATACTGTACTGAAAGTGAAAAACAGAATGGTGGTATGAGTACAGAATGGTTGTAAGCATATCAGGTACGCACCCTTGTGATCACGTGGATGACTGAGAGCTGTGGTTCACTGTCACTGCCCAGCATCATGAGAGAGTATCATCATGCATAGTGCTAGTGGGGGGAAAGATCCAAATTCAAAATTTGAAGAATGGTTTCTACTGAGTGTGTATGGCTTTTGCACATCTTAAAGTAAGTTGAACCATCATAAGTTGGGGACCATCTGCACATTATCTTTCCCCTCTCTTTTTTTTGTTTTTGAGGAAGATTAGCCATGAGCTAACATCTGTTGCCAATCCTCCTCCTTTTGCTGAGAAACACTGGCCCTGAGCTGACATCTGTGCCCATCTTCTTCTACTTTATATGTGGGATGCCTATCACAGCATGGCATGCCAAGCAGTGCCATGCCCGCACTGGGATCTGAACCGGCTAACCCCAGGGCCCGAAGCTGAATGTGCGCGCTTAACTGCTGTGCCAGGGGGCCGGCCCCTCCCCTCTCCTTTGTAGTTATATCTTTGCCTAGTTTGTAAAAAGCTAGGAGGTAAAGCCAGATTCAGATATTGCTGAGTATGTCACCAGCTGCTTCACCTTTTAATACAATATCAATAGCTTCTAAGAAATATATAATCCAATTGAAGTTTGAGTAGGCTTAAGCACTAATTTTTAAAAATTAAAAAACTTTATTTTTTAGAGCAATTTTAGGTTCACAGCAAAATTGAGCAGAAAGTACAGAGAGTTCCTGTATATTCTCTGTCCCCACATATGTACAACCTTTCCCACTATCAACATTCCGCATCAGAGTGGTCTATCTGTTACAGTTGATGAATCTACATTGACACATCATTATCAACCAAAGTCTATAGTTTATATTAGGGCTCACCCTTGGTGGTGTTCATTCTGTGGGTTTGACAAATGTATGATGATATGTATCCACCAGTATAGTATCATACAGAATAGTTTCACTGCCCTAAAAATCCTTTGTGCTCTGCCTATTCATGCCTCTCTCCCCCTTAACTCTTGGCAACTACTGATCTTTTTACTGTTCTCCATAGTTTTGCCTTTTCCAGAAAGTTGGAATCATACAGTATGTAAGCTTTTTCAGACTGACTTCTTTCACTTAACTATATGCATTTAACATTCCTCTATGTCTTTTCATGGCTTGGTAAGATTAACTTTTAAAAAGACCTGGAGAAAAAAATGTAATATAAGAGAAGCAAGATAAAGGAACACAGTTGAAAACTTTTACCCAGGACTGCCTCTACTTTGTCATAGAATCTGCACAGCAATCGTTTCTTGCTACTTTAAACACAGCTCACAAAACAAGAGTCAGAGCATAGTAATGTGAAGCTTGAAGGGAAATCAGGTCACATTTCATTTTTGTTTATTGGTCTAGATATCCAAGTAAATCAGATTGTCTTAACTTTGTAAATAGCAGTTGGTATATAAATCCAACTTTGCCATAAAATCTACTCCTGTTGTATTCCCTACTTGCATTAGTGACACCACTGGTCAGCAATATCAGACAACTGGCAATGGTCTTTGACTCTTCTGCTGTCTCTACCCCCATATCAAATGGTTACCAAATCCCGCCTCTTCCATTTACTATCTATTATTTGACATGTCGTATTCTCTGTAGCCCAACCACTCCTCCCCTAGTTCAGTTTCTCATTCTTTCTTATCTTACTGGGAATATAGTAATAATAATACTCTAGCTGCTCTTCCACTCTGCAGTGCATTTTCTTTTTCCATCTTTGACATTGCTTCTAAAGTTAGTTAGCTGAAAATAAAAGCCAATATTGTCATTAGCGTGAAGAAAATACTTCAAATATTTAGCAAGATGTACAATGTTCCTAATGATTTGACTTCTTGTCCTTCATTTTTTGCACCAAACCTTCACTGTAGACATGCCAAACTGCCTGCACTTCTTAGTATATTTGATGGTCCTTCCATGCCCGTTTACTTTTACCTTGTGAACTTTGTTACCTTTATCAACTTAGTGAACTCTTATTTGTCAAAATACATTTATTCAGTTAGTGAACAAATACTGAAAACTTACTCTGTGCCAACCGTGGTTCTCACTCTGGGACTATCAATTTAAAATAAAATAGACAGCACACAGTAGAAAGAAACATCAAAGTCATGGTGCTCCTTCTAGTGTGGGAGACAGAGAACAAATAACAGAGGAAAAATTATCATATAATTTCATAGTTTCATACAATGCTAGACAGGAAAGTCACTGAGTCCTGTGATATAGAATATCTGTGGACATCTGGGGGCCTATCTTTTAAAAGATGGTCAGGGAAGAGCTTGCTGTTAATTGAGCTTATAATTAAATGATAACAAAAGAGTAGTCATGCAGAATTTAGGGACGAACCATCCAGGCAGACAGAAATGTAGAGAGAACTGCAATGAATAGGCCCTAATGTAGGAGGGGCTCTGACTGGTGCTAGGAACTGATGGCTGACTAGTGTGTCAGGTGCAGTAACTAGGAGGGAGTGGCATGAGATGAGGTTGAAAAGAAATCAAGAGACTGGTCACACAAAATATGGTGGGACATAAGGAATTTACATTTTACTCCAAGTGCAGATGAAAGTCATTGGAGGTTCATAGAGACAGTATGATTTGATTTATATGCTAGTGGATATTCCAATCACTATATGGGGATTGAATGGGAGAGAAGAAAACATAGAAATGAGAAGTCAGTTTGAAAGTAATTAAAAGTAGTTCAAGCAAGAGATGGAAATGGCCAAAGCTAAGCTAGTAGCAGCAAAGACAGAAATACATAAATACAAAATTTATTACAAAGGTAGATGCTAAAACTCCTTATGTGCCATAAATGTGGGAAATAAAGGAGGAGGTGTGTGGTGGTAAAAGAAGAAATAAATCAAAAATAATTCTCAGTTTGGGGGATCCTGTAAGTAGGTGGACTATACTACCATTTACTAAGATGAAGAAGCATAGGGACAAATCAGACTGAGGTCTAATCAAGAGTTTTGTATTGGATAATTTAACTTGAGTTTTCCTTGGCGTGTCCCACTCAACTTATCAAAGGGACAATAAGTTATATGGATTTAGATCTCTCAAGCGAGGTCTTCATCAAAGAAGTAAAATTACGTTACCAGCATGTAGCTATTATTTAAAGCTGTGGGAATAGAATCATCTCCCAGGTAAAGAATGTAAATAGACATGACAGGAGGTCAAGATCATACTTTGAGAAACTCCAATATGTATAGTTTGAGAAAAGGAGACTGAGCCAGCAAATGAACATTCTGGGAAGTTGGAGGCAAATCCAAAGAACGTGATATGAGAGTGAAGATAGTTTCAAGAAGGAGAAAAAGGTCAAAAAGTCACATATTCCCAAGAGTCAAGTATGATGATAAGCAAATAATGTCTTTTGAATTTGGCAATATAGTATGGAGGTCATTGGAGGTTGTGACCCCAGTGGAGTTGTAAAGACTGAAGCTAGATTGGATAGTTAAAGAACAAATGAGAAATTGTTAAAGAATGTTAAAGAATGAATGTTAAAGAATGAATGAGATGTTGCTAAATGAAATCAAGATGGATAAGCAGTTTTAAGAGAATGTTTTTGTAAAGGAAAGCAGAAAAACCGAGCAGTATCTGGAGGTTGACACAGATGGAAAGGAAGATTTTTAGTCCATATTAGAGCCAATAGAGTATGCTGATGGTAATACACTATTAGAAAGGATGAAATAGAAGATTCGGGGAAATGTTTGAACATAATGTGACCTTGAACATAACTCAAAAGTGCATTGTCTGAAATTTCTTTTGGTATATAGAAAGATGTTTTCTCTTTGGAAAACCTTGGTAGCTGCAGGTTGACTTGTGGATTTGGTTTAGAAAACATGAAGGAATCCATGTTTGAAGTATAAGGCCATCAGCCACAAGGTTGGGTGAACAAAAGGAGTGTTCAGGGTTGGGGAACAGCATTTTCACTGTAAATGAAGCCCTTGAAATTGTTCAGGGTGGTTCCCCACAGGGTGCAAGAGGTTTGAGAGGAGAGGTATAACCTCCTCACCTTGCAGTATGGGATTGTAAAAGCTTATGAAGAGAATATAATGGGATCTCAGGCTGGTATTGTTTGCCTGCATGAAATTTATGATAATGAACTTAAAATGAAGTCAAGCATCTCAGTTTCTCAATTTTTCTCTAGAAACATTTAAAAGATATAGGCCCAGAGGAGATGGATAATTTGGCTCAGATCGAGTTGGATTTTCGTTAAATAATTATGATACAGTTAGAAGAAGACAAGGGTACTAAGGTGATTCTCAATGTTGTGACATAATAGATCATAGAATTCTAAGCTGGACAAGGAAAAGAGAGGAGGAAGCTAGAAGTCATTGAGAAAAGTGGTGAGCTCAAGTTCATGGATAATCTGAAGAATTGTGGTAGTGGGGAGTACTAGAGCAAGTGAACTGCAAGAATAAAATTACTGGATCAGAGAACAGGATAAACAATTGACATCATAGATGTGATATAATTTCTGATAATAATGGTTCTATTGCCTATAATGATAATGGGATTAAGTGATTATGACAGAGAAGGTAATATAACCCTCCAATATCTATTCTTCATTCATTTCTTATTTGTTTGTTTGTTTTTGCTGAGGAGGATTTGCCCTGAACTAACATCCATGCCAATATTCCTCTATTTTGTATGTGGGTTGCCACCACAGTATGTCTGCTGACAAGTGGAGTAGGTCCACACCTGGGAACCGAAGGCAGGCCGCCAAAGCAGAGCGTTCTGAACTTAACCACTAGGCCATGGGGCCGGCAACGTCATTCATTCCTTTTGATAATAAAACTCCCATGATTTTTCAGAATACGTGGCAGCTTTTCTAGAAACCTATTTCTCTGCCTCTCTTCATCTTATTTTGGTCTTGAGAATAAATTTGTGCAAGGGATTATGAGTAGAATTTATGTGGACAACTTCAGGGCAATATCTTGTAAAAAGAAAATTGTCTGCCCTCTATTTTCTATCTTCCCCCTCTCTATGGATCAGTATGGGGACAAGATGCTAGTGAGTATGCTCTGACCATGCTGGGTAGAGAAAGACCTAGGGGACGGGAGAGTAAAATTTAAAGGAATTGGTGTCCATCTCTCATATTGTGGAACTGAGCCATAGTGTTATCTGTAACTGGTAATGTCGGGAAAAAAATAAGCTTCTGTTCTCTTTGAGCTGCTATGCAGTAAGAAGGAATGAGCTAGCTTACTCATTCAGGCTTTACATTTTGCAGTGAAAGTGGCATCTTGAGGCAGTAGCCCTATAGGGCCTTGCATGGTAAACTCAGCTCAAAAGTCCCCACCTACTCCTACCCTCTGCAAAATCAATGACTGCTTCTTCCTTGCTTTGTAGCCTCTCCAATATTACAGGTGTCAAGAGTAGTAATTATGTGTTTGCTTGTTTGTACAGTGAGGCTGTGTGCCATTTGAGGGCAGGGACTGCCTGTTTTTCATCTTCGTAACCTCAATGTCTAGCAAATGAAAGGAGTGATTTAACATTTTTTTGAGTGCCAAAAGGAACATAAAATTGTGCTAATTGTTAGAAGAAACATGAATGAGACACTGTTTGTATCCTCACAGACTTTACAGTGCAACTGCAAAACCATAAGAAGAAGGGTAGCCAGCAAAATGATGACGAGGAATAGCTCAGAAGAAGTCTTATAATTCTGCATGACGGAAGAAAGAAACAGGTATTAACACTGAGAACCCCTGAGATCCAGACTTACAAAACCCATTGCCTAACGTTACCTGTATTTGAAGTTCCCACGACACCTCACACACAACATGTCACTCCTACTCCAGCATCCCTTTTTTGGATGGTGCTTTCACCATCCAATTTCTGAAAAAATAAGACATTGGCAGTTACCCTGGATTCCTCCAATCCTCTCATTTGTAGCCACTCAGTTGGTTACTGAGTTCTGTGAATCATACCTTACACATATTTTATAAATCTGTCCCTTCACTCTATCGAAAACACTGCTTGTTTAGTTCAGGCCCCTAATCTTACTCCTGTAGATTATTTCACATCTCTAGTTTCCCCGCCAATGTTCTTTCCCTTCCCAATACCTTCCCAAATAATTTCTCATGCTATCCCAGTGGGTCACATCTGAGATGTAAATAAGATCACGTTGTTCCTTTGTTTCATAACTATCACTAGTACTAGGTCGTGTTGACATAATGACATATAAGACGCTCCGTGATTTAGTCCCTGAGTTCAGCTGCACCTACCCGAAGTATCCCTGCCCAATTTTTACATTTCAACATTACTGAACTACCTCTGTTACCCATCATTACATCCGTGTGATTGTCTTTTTTGTGCTATCTCTGCCTGACTCTTTATAGTCCAAAACTGGCTTCCCCACCACTCTCATTCTTGGCCTTCCTTACTCCTAATTAAGTATCTCATCTTCCTGAAAGACTTCTATGTGCTTCCATAGTATCTTATGCATCTCATTATTTACTAAAATGTACCTGAAAATATTTTATTACTGTATGTCTTCTCTTCTAGATAAGCTCTTCAAAACATGTATCAAGACTATTCATTGCTTAAATATACCAAATAAGAATAATCACAGGTGTTCAGATATTTGCAAAATTGTACAAAATAGTATAGAGTCATCAATGAGAAAGAAAGGAAGAGATCTGGTAATCAAAAATTTCCTCCTAGAAAAAGTCTCAATGAAATTGAATACTGATTAACAGTGAGATGTTTACTTGCCATATAAAATATTCAACATTTACATAAAAAAGTTTATTCTTCAGCCACAACTTTAACTGTTAAATTCAGTTGGCCGTTGGTAATACCTGCCGTTAGGTGCAAGGACAACACAATTCCACCTACAAATTCAAGAGTTCTCTCTGTGGATTTACTATGAAGTATAGCATTTTACATTTACTATATGAAGATACCTCTTCAGACTACCTGCAGGATTACAGCAGAGCTGAAGAGACGAATGGCATAAGATGCATCGATAACTTAGGGAAAAATACGAAATAAGCAGACTTTTCTTGGCCCCATTTTATGTTTGCATCACCCCTCTCACTGTGATCAATGATCTAGCTGGCATTACCTCTACAATTATCTTCAGCTCACAAACATCTCTTACCATGACACATGTCCCATGATTCTTTCTTCATGCCTTCCCAATGAAAGGTATCTTTCCCAACTCCCAAGTGTTTTGTGAAGTGATTTGCAGTGTTAGTCTTTGATAAATTATTATCTTAATGGCTTAAAAATTTATCCAGCTTGAAGGCATATGGATTTTAAAAGTAAGCTTTTCATTGTAAAACTGTCTCAATAAATACTGGAAGCTTTCCTTTCAGTGAGTGATGCTGGATCAGGGAAATTTGGAAGCTTTTTTAATCAAATCACTTAGATGATTTACTTCCCTATCCTTCTAATAGTTAAAAAAGGCTTATAGGTTATAATGGATAATTAGGTCAATTATGTACTTAATTTTTAAAAACCAGAAAATAAAACTAGGGTCAAAATATTCAACCATAAAATAAAATAGGTAGAAAAATGAATATCAAAAGGATAAAATAGGAAAAGGTGTAATTCTCGTGCTTTAAACCTGATTTATATTTTCCAGGAATTGAATGAAAATATTTAAAAGTTCTCCATATGAAAGTGGAATTATTAATTACAGTATTAGGCATGAATTTGTGTAGGCTAATTAAAGCTCAATGAAAACTTCCTTATAAGGCATTATCTAATTAGACTTCAAAATATCTTGTTAGGAATATTTCTAGACATGTTTTTTTCATTCAACATTAGTCAGAATGTGTTCGACTCTTTAAATCATATAGTTCTATAATACTAGAAGGAAAGAGTATTAAACTGTGATTTGTAACATGGAAATCCCCAAAGAACTTCTATAACTATTTTTGGAAATTTTCTTCAAAATATTTGTGTCTGGGTATCCTGGATGGATAAAGTATTCAATGCAATTACTGAGCAGAGGTAAAATTGAAAGTCATTATATGAAATGAAGCAAGACAATCCATGAATAGGAGTGTGTAAACAGATTCCCCCAAATACACAATTCAGGGGATGAGCTAAGAGTTTCAGGGGATGGGATCACCTTAGGGCCCAACCTGTATACCAGAAATTATTTTACAATTAAATATTTATTCATATTTCACCCTTAGCAATATATAATCCTTCCAAACATTTTAGGTGCAGAATGACATGCCAGCAGAGCCTGTATGACCATTAAAAACACATTAGTAAAACCAGTTTTTGCATGTTATGCTGATAAAATAACAACTTAGAGTGAGTGATGACTAAATGTTTCATTTTTCTTTCAGATATCTGGGCACCTTTCTGAACTATGCCACAACATAAGCAGCACTCCATAGCTACAACAACACACTTGTGTGTCTCTTAAAGGGAAGTGTGCCCCTCATCCTCATTGTCAGAGAGTCAACAGTGTTTCTCTTCTTTACTGGAGATCCTGCCCTTTCTCACTGACAGACCCAGGTTCCCCCTCTGAAGTTAAATATAACAACATACGCAAACTCGTCTGCCTATCTCATGTTACTGTTGTATGACGCTTTCTTTATCTGAAACAAGTTAAAATATGAGACCAAATGTAAAGAACTATACTCACATATATAGTCCATATTTTTGTATATAATCATTAATTCTCAATGATTAAGACTGAAATGGAATTATCATTTATATCCCACACACTGCACATTTAGGACAAGGCAAATCTATATGAATTTTTATGGAGACTGATAATACCATTGAGATAGTCATATAGCAATTTGAGACAACTGTTTTGCCTCATGGATATTTAGGTGCCCCCAAATCAACCAAAGGAATCCTTAGATAAGTGGGATGTAAGAAAGCAATAATTCACAAAATAGAGAAAACAATCAACAATGAATAATGAAAAAATGGGGAGCAAAGTTTCCTCAGAACTATATGAAGCAATGCTAATTAAAATAACCATGAAGTATCAATTTTTTCATTAATTAGATTGTTAAAGGTAAATGAAGTTCCATATTGTTAGTAGGACTATAATCAGACTGCCTTTTCAGAAAGCAATTTGCTAATGTGAAACAAAAGATACAAAAATATTCATATTCTTTATCAAAAAGTGTTATATCTATCCTAAGGAAATATGGAAAAAATATGAAGATGTAATTTTCATTACAATATTAATCCTTGTACAAAGAAAATGGAAATTGGCTTTACAGTCCAAGATTGGTGGTGGCTAAATAAATTTTGAGAGATCTGATACATGACAGAACATTATATTGCCACTAAATATTATGGGTATTATTTCTATTTTTATGACATGAAAATGTTTACTTAACGTGTTAAGTGAGACGGTACCAATCCCAAAAATTCACATGTTAAATTATGTGCTACATATACATGCTGAGGACAAGCCAGAGGAAGGCAAACTAATTGTATTAAAGGATAATATAGTGATGGATTTCAATTATTTTCCTTTCTATTTTCCCTAAGTTATGACAGATGGTTATGGTACCTGTATAATACTACTACTAAATAATTAAACAAATAAAATATAAGTATAGTAGGTAGACTTCAAATTTAAAAAAAGAATTGATGAATGCAGTGTTGAATAACACAGTGTTAAATTGAACTTCCCCAATAATAAATGAATAATGACTGATTAAAACATCTCCATGCCGATTTGATAGCATTTAATCATCAGTTATTTGATTTAACACATTTTATATTCTTTCATCACATACTGTAAATTGCTTATTAAAAAATGCATTCATTTCTTTTGGATTGAATGGAGAGAACGGAGTGAAGTAAACTTAGTCACTGACTTTTAAATGATATGTGTTAATTTTTTGCTCACTCTACTCAATCTTTCACTTTCCCTCTTCCTCTTTCATTCCTTCCTCCCCTGCGGTCCCTACTGTGCTTTTGAAAGTCTGTAAACTTCAAACTACACAGGCCAAAGAAATCAGTATTGGATTTCTGATAAGAAAGCCACCAAATATTGCCAATAAAATATTACTTAAAAGTTTATTAAAAAGCGTATTTCTTGGGGCTGGCCTAATGGCACAGTGGTTATGTTCACGCGTTCTGCTTTTGGGGCCTGGGGTTCACAGCTTTGGATCCTGGGTGTGGACCTATACACTGCTCATCAAGTCATGCTGTGGTGGCATCTCACATAGATAACAGAGGAAGACTGGTACAGATGTTAACTCAAGGACAATCTTCCTCAAGCAAAAAGAGGAAGATGGGCAAAAGATGTTAGTTCAGGGCCAATCTTCCTCACCAAAAAATGTTTATTTCTTTTGTGTTTTTTTTTTTTTTAATCAGTTTCCTTGTCTTGTTGTTTAGCTGAAAATTTTGGCTTCCTTACAAGGGTTGGAATAATAGAAACCAAAGACATCCTCTACTAAAATATGTATTCTAAACCGTAATTATCATGAATTAAATTCTCTACTACGTTTTCAGTTGACATCATGCAAACACGCATGAGGAAATGTTCCAATCAAAAATGCCTGCTGGTTTAATATCTGCTGGGAAATATAATAAGGGCCTATCTCTGTTGTTAATGTCTATATTTTAATTTTGTGTATGTCCATCAGATTCATATTTCTCATTCCTACTCTAAAGTAAGGAATGGGAATCTTTAACAAGAGGAAAGACAGCAGCTAAAATCAGATAATATCAATTGTGTTTCTATTCACTAATTTCAAGATATATAACTGTGCTTGCTCTGAAAAGTCCATGATTTCACTCTTATGACTGTGGCAGGCTGCTCAGCCGATAAGGACCTAGGATAGACTCCAGGGATTTACTCTTCGTTTCAGGGAGGACATTTCATGTCCTGACCTACTTCCCTAAGCCCAGCCACTCTGGACCACAAGCCAAAGTATGAAAGGGTGACTTTTAGTTTCTAAACATCTCTGAAAAGTATTTTTATATTTGAGACTAACTTGTAGTGGGTCATTAACTTCATGGATTTAAAGAACGTAGGAGTCGGAGATTATCTAGTCCCAATCTCTCATTTCACAGACAAGGAGATTAAAACTCAGAAGGAGTGAAGCTTGATATTTTTTATTGAAAACCACACATTTTTATTTGAAAGTGGACACTTTTTATTTTACTAATGAGTGCATCAATATTGTTCTTTGAATACTTTTTTCCAAATATATATGTATATGTATATATATATATATATATATATATATATATATATGTATCTAAAGAAGTAGTAAAATCAGCTTGAAAGTTTATAATTTTTCACATAAAAAATTTAAAATGTAGCACCAGGATCAATTATCTATTTTCTGAGTTCTCCAGGTAAATGGCTTAATACATTATGGCTGTAATTAGCATCTTTATTATTTTTCTTTTTTGTCTATCCATTATCCATGCCCAAACTTTTTCATCCTAGTTAGATTTAGTCTTCAGACTGTGAACCAAAGCATTCTTCTTTTTCCCAGCCAAGGGTTTGTCATGTGTCCAAAGCTAAGTCAATTAGACTCTCTTTGGAATTTGATTCTTGAGCAAAGAGTCTCAAGGAAAGAAAACACTTGAAGAAGATTTGTTCAGAGGGTGGCGGCCTGATGACATTGCCTTTTAAATCATGAGATCTTCCCTGATCGTGATGTTTGGGAAGCCTGTTGTTCAGCCTGTTTACACTTGAGTAAATTCTTGTGTTACTTAAGTTAGCCAGAATTAGTTTCTGTTACTTGCAACTAAAGAATCCTTCGTAATTCATTTTCGTTTACCCTTCTCAACTTTTTAAGACTATTTGAAATATGGGACAAGCATGGCTAACAACTCTCTTGCTCTTACCTGACATAATCAGAAAAGAAGTATAAATAAGAAGAAATATATAGGAACCATAAAATAAGTGTCTAGACTGAATGTTTCTGTCCTCCCCTCCCCACAAATTCATATGTTGAAATCTAACTCCCAGTGTGTTGGTATTTGGAGGTGGGGCCTGTGGGTGGTGATTAGGTCATGAATGCAGTGTCCTCATGAATGTGATTAGGGTCTATAAAAGCAGTCTCAGGGTGCTCCCTTGCCCCTTCTGCCATGTGAGGACAAAACTAAAAAGATAGCCATCTATAAAGCTGGAAGGAGGCCCTCACAGGATGCTGAATCTGCCAACACCTTGATATTGGACTTCCCAGCCTCCAGAACTGTTAGAAACAAATGTTTGTTGTTTATAAGCAACCCAATATATGGGATTCTGTTATAGAAGCCCAAATCAACCAAAACAGTAAGTATTAAGTGGTATATAATAATTGAAATTCCACAGACTTGCAAAATTCCACATTTTCTAAAGTCCTTTATCTCACTTGTGGTGACTGAAGAGATGGAAAGATTTTGCTCACTGACTCTAGTGCCTACTATTTACTACCGTCTTCTTCCTCAGGTCTTAGTGGTGAATACTCTCCTGTTGGACAAAACAGGAATTGTTTGTTTCATGCATGGTTTGTGAATTATTGAAAACTACTTTTCACAAAGCAAAATTTCTGTAATTATCTTGGTAAAATGCCATCATTCTTTTCTCCTCAGGTGCTGATAACTTTACCTCACCAGGGCTTTATACTGAATAATGTCACTGCTTCCTTCCTGTGGAGTGTCACATTGCAAATCACTAGTGTGTCCCTCTTCTCTATGGTACTTGCAAAATCTCACTTCATCCCCTACTATTGATGGTAACTGCTAAACTATAATTGTAATTCTGATGTTTCTTTATATTTCCCCTTGATTCAATGCAAATTTTCACTTAATAAGAACAATAAGTTTATGCTAATATATCTTAATGCATAGATTATTTCCATTTTCAAAAGCACTGTCTCCAATTTGAGACTTAAATATTCAGGTGTGAATTTACTAACACCCTCTTACGGTGTTTACTTTGAGTTAATTCAGAAAATATTAATGATTCAGAAGATAAAATAATGTAAAATGATTATAAAGTATTGTTTTAAATAATCTTTCTTAAGTATGTCAATCTTTATCCCCTCAAAAAAAAAATCTTGGTCCACTTTGGCAGTTTTCAATAAATACAATAAGAGAATCCCTAATAATAATTATTATGAAAATAGTTAGCATTTTCTTTTTTTTAAACTGTATTTCATGTTCTTTGAAAACCATTTTACATATATGTGTTTCTATCTTCATGCCCCTAAAAGCAAGTATTCTAAAGTATCATAATTATTCTCATATTATGAATGGAGACTCTGAAGCTTAAGAATCCTTCCAGAGACTTGTGATGATACCAAGGTTTTTAACCCAGATCTACCTGACTATAAAGTCCATGGATTTTGTCTCTAGTTGAAAAAGATAAACTGGAGATAAGGGAAATAAGATGGTCTTCAGATTGTTAAACTTAAAAAGAGAGCCACATAGGGGCTGGCCCTGTGGCCGAGTGGTTAAGTTCGGGCGCTCTGCTGCAGGCGGCCCAGTGATTCGTTTGTTCCAATCCTGGGCGTGGACATGGCACTGCTCATCAAACCAAGCTGAGGCACCGTCCCACATGCCACAACTAGAAGGACCCACAACGAAGAATATACAACTATGTACCAGAGGGGCTTTGGGGAGAAAAAGGAAA